AGATGTTAGATATGTAAATACATTAGAATTTTGTGGTATGTATGTAAATGCCTCTTAACAATATTGCAAATCAGATGGCACAAAAAGATCAAGGTTGAATAGAAGACAAGGATCTCACCAAACCAATTGCAGATAAGAATATCCAAAATAATACTATCCCACCAACATTCATTAAAGTTTGGCAGCATATGCCGGAAAGTGAGCTGCAAAATATATTTTTTTTCAAATTAAACCTTCTCTTAATAACATGCAAAAAAAATAAAATAAAATATTTCACACCTATTAAAAAGCTGACCTCCATAACTTCAAATCCAATGGACAAACCCCACAACAGAGGCTGGTTTCTTATCATGATAGCCTTTCCCCACCATCCAAAGACATGTGCAAGAACAAATTCATCAAACAATGTCTCCTATAGCAAATAAAATAAAATAAAAAACATTTTTTTTGAAAATATTTCAAGCCAGGTAGAATATAAGAGAGACAAAAAGAAAAAAATAAATAAATAATCAAAATAAAATATATGGTGAATGAAGCAATCATACATAAACACTGTTAAACCTGCTTTTTGGATTTTCAGGTGTATATATTCTGCAATCAGTGCCATAGGACCGTTCAGGTAACTCTGTTTTTATTTTTCAAAGAGCATTAAAAACAGAAAAATGTCACAAAATTTAACTTTTTTTTTGTTTTTGATGAAGTTATTACCATGCCCAAGATCTGGATGAAGAAATCTCATGAACTTCCGTGCATCGCCACGGTTCTGAAAATGAAGAGCTATGAGATAAGATTTAACATAACTCCAAGTAAGAAGAATACTTAGAAGATTCTAAAATAAAGGAAGTAAATGCCTAAGTGATGCAAGCAAATAAGATATGCAAAATAAAAATGTTTAAACCTATATCATATTAGTGGCTTTAGTAACAAACAACCATACAAACAGGGGTGCAATCAATCTCTTTTAAGCAGAAGGATTTATGAGGGGGAAAATTTTACTAAATGGCCCCATCTATTAAAGAAAATAATAAATTTTAGTGTCGATAATTGCTAGCCTTTGGTGTAATATAGTTCCCCTATCCACAACTTGGCACAATCTTCTTGTTTAAGTAATAAGTCTCTATTCTTACATGGTTAGCCTTCAAGTTTTCCCAATTTCCACTCAATAAATCTATAATTTTTTGACAAAAAAATAGACAACTTTGCAATTTTTCAGTACTACTTTCACAAAGAATGCAATTTGCATGAATGCATGAATAATTATGGATTTGATAGAATAATAATATTAATAATAATGATGAAAAGAGACAGACCTGAAAAAGCAAAAAAGTCAGGGCAACAAGGTAGACGACCGCCAATCCATGAACCAACCGCCAAACCGAAGGATGAGGACGAATTAGAATGCTGGAAAGTTACAATGATGTTAAATACCAAAAAATTTTGCCATCATCAATTTTAATAATTTTTTTCATATACATAGCTTTTTTAGAATAATATGTTTTGCGTACTTCAAAATTTTCTTATGTACTTGTGGCTATTCGGATCATCATCATCAGTCTTACTTATCATCTAACTATTTAGAGTCGGCTTTAAGGATCCTTGTTTTTCATTTGTTCCTATTAAATATTGTCTAAGGTCTATTCCTTCTCCTTCCTAATCCTATTAAACTATTCTTTTCAGATGGATATATTTGCAAACATTCGGTGTACACATGCAAATCATCTAAGTTAATCTCAATTAATTTATATTCAATAGATGCCACTCTGATTCTTCCTCAAATATAATCATTTCTTCATTAATCCTTCCTAATACTGCCCCATACTTATGTTAATATTCACATTTCTCCCACACTCAACTGAGACATAAGCGACTTCTACTTGTCTAACACTCGTATTTTAAA